TTTAAAATGATCCACGCCCGATGGCCAGAAAGATAGTTCGAATTCGGAGCCAGCGGAACTCGGCACGCGATGCACAGATGGATTATACCCGGGGGAATCTTCAAAAAAATATATATATTAATCGGTCAGCCCGCTTTATCGTAACGCAACTGTGGATGGTTTTGGCTTGCGCGTGGCGAATAATAATAATGAGTGATAAAATAAAATTATTACACAGCTCCTATGCGTCTACAATGCAGCCAGTTACAAAGTGCACACCCAGCCGTGGCCAACGCCTGCGGGTTGCGGTGCCGCGATAAGGAAGCCCTTGTGCAGCGGAGTGAAATGACTGCAAAAAATATGTAGCGCTTGCTGCCATCGAAATAAAACAAATATATATAAAAAATAAATGACTCAGATAGGGTAGTTGGTGGCATGCTTGCGGGCTGCGCGTTATTATAATTTTTTTGAGCAAAGTAAGTGCACGCGCACAAACAAATGAAGCAGATAACTGCCAAGACCAGCTGTTTGGCATCATTACAAGATCCCCCCCCCCACTGCTACACACGCACTGGGCCCATGCGCCCTCCCCTCCCCACCGCCCCAACTGTTTTAGACCCCATACGCAAAATAAGCATGAATAAACATTGCGAATGAGGTAAGCAGCAACCGGGCCGTGATGTCATCGCCTTCAGCTGTGTTTGTGTGTTGTGTTGCAAGCTCTGTGACTGCCGCCCCCCCACCCCCCTCTCCTGCGGCCGCGTCGCGGATCCTGGCGCTGTTTGGGGCAAAAAAACTTTCTCGCGACGCGCGCGTCTCCCAGAGGCGTCACGCAGCGCGCACACGCACGCGGGTCTCTCACCGGTCGGAGATGATCGACCCTGCCGCGCGTTGAGCTTGGTCCAGTGAGTAACGTCGGCGCGCGGGCGCCCTTGTTTATCCGATATCGTGCGTAAAGTGCTTGAGCGCGCGTTGCGTTTTATATCGATGCGTTCCCCCCCCCCACCCCACCCCCGCGTCGGCAGTGGGGACGTTGCGTGGAGCGTCTTGTGCGTTGTTTGTGCGTTCCCGTGTGGTGTACGTTCTTGCAGATTGACTGTGCTTGTGGACGCACGCGTGCACGTGTAATTTTTATTTGTGCGCCTTCGGGAATGCGCCGTGTTTACGAATTGGCGAAGTTGATTACGTTCGCTCGTGCGCCCCGCTCAGGTCTGCATTTATTCATCCGAGCACCCACCGGGATTGTTTGACACACGTGTATTTACAGTGAGGGAAAAAAGTATTTGATCCCCTGCTGATTTTGTACGTTTGCCCATTGACAACGAAATGATCAGTCTATAATGTTAATGGTAGGTTTATTTGAACAGTGAGAGACAGAATAACAACAACAAAATCCAGAAAAACGCATGTCAAAAATGTTATAAATTGATTTGCATTTTAATGAGGGAAATAAGTATTTGACCCCTCTGCAAAACATGACTTAGTACTTGGTGGCAAAACCCTTGTTGGCAATCACAGAGATCAGACGTTTCTTGTAGTTGGCCACCAGGTTTGCACACATCTCAGAAGGGATTTTGTCCCACTCCTCTTTGCAGATCTTCTGCAAGTCATTAAGGTTTCGAAGCTGACGTTTGGCAACTCGAACCTTCAGCTCCCTCCACAGATTTTTTTTATGGGATTAAGGTCTGGAGACTGGCTAGGCCACTCCAGGACCTTAATGTGCGTCTTCTTGAGCCACTTCTTTGTTGCCTTGGCCGTGTGTTTTGGGTCATTGTCATGCTGGAATACCCATCCACGCCCCATTTTAAATGCCCTGGCTGTGAGGGAAGGAGGTTCTCACCAAAGATTTGACGGTACATGGCCCCGTCGATCGTCCTTTTGGTGAGGTGAAGTTGTCCTGTCCCCTTAGCAGAAAAACACCCCCAAAGCATAATGTTTCCACCTCCATGTTTGACGGTGGGGATGGTGTTCTTGGTGTCATAGGCAGCATTCCTCCTCCAAACACGGCGAGTTGAGTTGATGCCAAAGAGCTCCATTTTGGTCTCATCTGACCACAACACTTTCACCCAGTTGTCCTCTGAATCATTCAGATGTTCATTGGCAAACTTCAGACGGGCATGTATATGTGCTTTCTTGAGCAGGGGGACCTTGCGGGCACTGCAGGATTTCAGTCCTTCACGGCGTAGTGTGTTACCAATTGTTTTCTTAGTGACTATGGTCCCAGCTGCCTTGAGATCATTGACAAGATCCTCCCGTGTAGTTCTGGGCTAATTCCTCACCGTTCTCATGATCATTGCAACTCCACGAGGTGAGATCTTGCATGGAGCCCCAGGCCGAGGGAGATTGACTGTTCTTTTGTGTTTCTTCCATTTGTGAATAATCGCACCAACTGTTGTCACCTTCTCACCAAGCTGCTTGGCAATGGTCTTGTAGCCCATTCCAGCCTTGTGTAGGTCTACAATCTTGTCCCTGACATCCTTGGAGAGCTCTTTGGTCTTGGCCATGGTGGAGAGTTTGGAATCTGATTGATTGCTTCTGTAGACAGGTGTCTTTTATACAGGTAACAAGCTGAGATTAGGAGCACTCCCTTTAAGAGTGTGCTCCTAATCTCAGCTCGTTACCTGTATAAAAGACACCTGGGAACCAGAAATCTTTCTGATTGAGAGGGGGTCAAATACTTATTGCCCTCATTAAAATGCAAATCAATTTATAACATTTTTGACATGCGTTTTTCTTGATTTTGTTGTTATTCTGTCTCTCACTGTTCAAATAAACCTATCATTAAAATTTTAGACTGATCATTTCTTCGTCAGTGGGCAAATGTACAAAATCAGCAGGGGATCAAATACTTTTTTCCCTCACTGTATCTCTTTGAAGAAAGAATAGACAAATGCTGCTGTCAATCAGATTAAGTTCACATCGAGCGAAACGCGCGTACTTAAAAACAAAACCCCATCCCTCCTTGCTATTTATTTATTTATTTACATTTATATCGAAAGAGGAAATTGCTGCCAGGGTACCCCGATTTAGGACAGTTCGCTACGTACGGCGCGAAAGAAGTTCAACGTGCACACGTACGTATCAAATTGCGAGAGTAAAATTGCAGAAACTACGCTATTCGCGGGAGTAGATACTACAGCGTGAAATAACCGTACGTCGTTGCGCCAAAAACCCTAACATAGATTGAGCGCACGCCGGGCAAATCTTTTAGGTGGGGCCAAGCGACGGGCGTGCGATGCTTTGGGAGGGATAACTGATGACCGTTGACGGACGAAAAATATTTTTAACTCTATAGAGGCGGCGGTTTAAAGGCGTTTAGTTGGACTGACATGGGCACCGTTGACGAGTGACTTACGTCGAGATGAACTTTCGGAACGCGAGCGTCGGTCCGAAAGCCGACTCATGTATTGCGGTTCTCCCGTTCTTTTTTTCCTTCGGTGGGATTGTTTCTTTTAAGACGTTGTTTATTATATTAATCAGTGGGTTCGTGTAAACGTCACCAGTTTACAGAGCGAAACCTTTATATCGGGATAAGAACCCCAGACTGCCGACGGCAGAGCAAGCGCATCCCTGGTAAGGGAACGGCCTGGAGTGAAACAGCGCGGGCGGCGTTTCCTGGCGTCCCACTCGTTGAGCTCGCTCGCCGCGTGACCCCGCGTCGAGAAACGAGCGCGGGTGCCGGGTCATGGACGGCGCGTTCGAACGGCCCGCAGGGACTTCTTATCGCGTGCCGGTCGGTGTGTGATTCGAAAAGTCCCCGGCCAGGCGGGAGATGACGAACCTCCTCTACGCGGTCCACCGCTTGTTATAGGCGTTTATTTTCGAACGCAAACCCGCCATGAAATCGGCCCGGTCCGCGGAAACTTCCGCGAGGAAGCTGCCCTCTGTCCGTGACGAATCCTATTCGCACCGTCGGTGGTGGTAACTCCGAAGTGGGGGGGGGGGGGGGGGGCGGAGTTTGAGCCCAGATGTTTCGTCGGGGTTTGTGTTTTGGTATCCTGCCACAAAAAAAAATGTGAAGAAAATTCCAATTCGTTACGTTGAGTGGGGTTAAAGGGGGAAGTGTGTGAAGGGTTGAAATTTAACTAGGACAGTGACCTTCTTGCGATGCTCGGCTCAAATTCTGACGTCGAGAGGTACAAAGGCGAGGCGGTTGGCACACTTCCTGGGTGCGCTTCGTGCGCTCCTGACGTACGTTGATGTTACTCCTATTTTTGAAAAATTTCGATTTGTGGTTTGAAGCGTTTTTGGAATTTCAAAAAGTGGGGGAAATTAATTTTTTGTTGCATTGTTTGAACAATTTTTTGCGAATAGTAAACTGCAAAGCTATGTTGAAGTCAAATTTAACGTACGTTAAGGTACGTTAAATTTAGTATGCATTTTACCGCATTTCATACGACCTGCCATATATTGTATAGATCATAGAGTACATACAAGCATACACATAGGTGTCTGCATACATTACATGTACTTACAAATATTGTACAAACAAGACTACAGCATACTATGCACTTTCTCTGAAATGAATAAGCATCCATTTTCGCAAGTTATGTTTTTACATTCATAATCACGTGTGTCTGAAATCACGCAGCACTCTCTTATTTAACTTTAACAACAGAGATAGGTACTCGACCGTGTATCAGGTCATCCGCTTTCGATGATCATTCAAACGAACTGCAATTTTTACTCCAAAACGTGCACAATGTGTCTCTTTTGTCCTGACGTGCTTGAGATCCGATTCGGCAGAGGGTTTGGTGGCAGCGTGGCCTAACCACTTTGGACGTCGTGTGTTTTGTGCGTTTTAAGTCCCGTTTTTCCTACGACTGGTGCTTGTGAAATGCTTGCCGCACTGCACACGCGTTCTCCACACGTGAGGACGGTGGACGCGGAACAGTCGCACTTCCCCGTTCGTGCGAGAGTGCACGGTTGAGCGTCGCACGTGCCCTCGTGCGCTCGCGCTCCCGCGCTCTTTACCGTGGCTCGCCCGCTTTCATCGGCCCGCCTTGTTGCCGTCTGTCCAGTTGCAGGCCATTCAAGCTGCCAGGCTCTATCTTCAGCAGCAGCAACAGCATCAGCAGCAGCAACAACAACAACAACAAGTGCAGTCGAAGAACAGTTCCAAAACATCTACGGCCAACGACAAGCAGCAAGCCACCGTACTACAGGTGAGAGCGCGCGGGGTGTCTCGTACGGCAATGGTCTCAGCATTGAAGAAGTCGTTCAGCCTGCGAGTCCCCTCCGCTGCAGTGTCGCGGGCTTGTTAAGGAGAGCAAAGGAGAGCGGGAGAAGGCCCCCGCTCATTCATCCCGTCGAACGTTCCCCGCGCACTGTGCTTCCTCGTAGCCTATAGCACCTGTGATGCACGTCAGTCATCCGTTCGGGCACTGTCCTGGTGCAAACCTGCTGCTTAGCTTTCCGAGATGTGACGAGATCAGGTGCATTCTGGGTAATGCGGTCATATAATTTTAAAATAATGAGAATAATGCTCTTGTTAATTTGGCATTGACAGTCGCCGATGTCTATTATCGACAAGGCTGTGTGTAATGAACTCGGTGATTGGTGTGCTCGTGTCTATCAGCGCCAGGCGCAAAAATTAAATGTCTCTCGGCTTTGCAGCGAGACCCAGTGGCCACTGCGTGTGCGCAGAATTCCACAGCTGTCAACCTGGGGACATTGAGTTTTCAGGTCCATATGACGTACAACCGTTTCAATACAGGCAAACATTTTTGTTAAAGTTTTTGTGTTTCTCCCTTGTGATGGGACTTTGTAGGATGAACGTTGATATTTATAAGGGCACGGGGTGACCAATACCGTCTGAATTGGTCTGTAATAAGGCAGGGCACTGTGATAAGGGGTTAACAGGTATGGAATTCATGCACAGTTTGTGTCTTGTTTCCATAAAGTTTGTGGCCTTTATTTGATGAGGTGCAAGTCAAGAGGGGTGAATTGTCTCTGCTGAAAACGGGGACAAGATCGCAATTGCATAGGGAGAGTTTTAATTTTGTGTTATTATTGCCAATAAATGGGCATTAAAAAAATATAATTTGGTATTTACAATAGGAGCTAAAGTATATACGACACTGCTACGATAGGAACTACTGTAAAAGACACAGCACTGTTATATTAATACACGTAAGACACATTTCTGTTATAAAAGGAACTATATGCATGGCCCTGTTATAAGATATATAACATACAATACCATTATAATCGGAACTATAACATACAGCACCGTTACAATAGCAACTATTATACACGTTCTGTTATAGCTTTTATACACGGAACTGTTACAATAGGACCTATTGTTCACGGTACTGTTACAATGGGAACTATTATTCACGGTACTGTTACAATGGGAACTATTATTCACGGTATTGTTATAATAGGAACTCGATGGAAATGGAACGAAGTGTGGCTCTAACAGATTAGACACACACCTGACGAGAGCACGACTGAAAAGTCCAAGATGACTCATTGTGCACCGCAAAGCGGATCTGTGTGTTTGTGTGTTTGTGTGTGTGGTGCCACTGTATTTGTGTGTGCACGCCACTGTGTGTGTGTGTTTGCGTGCCACCCTGTGTGCTTGTGTGTGTGTTTGTGTGGGGCCACTGTGTGTTTGTTTGTGCACGCCACTGTGTGTGTGTGTGTTTGTGTGCGTGTGCGTGCGTGGGGAGCGGTAGTGTAGCGGTTAGCGCACTGCGCTACGAACCTGGCGAACCGGGTTCGATTCCCGTTCATGGCCAATACCAGTGACGATTATCTGAACCGGTCCAATGTCTCCCCTAGGTCGACTCAGCCTCAAATGAGTACCTGGTGCGGTGTGTAAACATCGTCACTAGGGAGACCAAGGCGGCCGTGCATGGTGTTGGCCACCCACCCCCTCGTGTGCCATGCCGGCCTTCATAGGTGCTCACTGACAGCACTTGGTCCAAAAATATATTACAGGCTGTACGGGGTATCTTTGTCTTTGTGTGTGTGTCTGTATATGTGTGGGCATGTTGTTATTGTGAGGCTGGTTATCTCATTGTGCTACAATCCCAGCTAACTGGTAGAATTCCTACATGGGAACGTCAGCGGTTGGGAGGTGTTTCAAGCTGATCCAAGCCTTGCTTTGATTCAAGAGCTTCGGGAGTTTGTGTACACACACACACGTGTGCTGCGTTCTTTTTTTTTAAATATGGTGAATTTAACAGCCTCTAGTGGCTGCAGGGGTGGCGTGAACCGTCCCCGTACAAGGTGCCCTCAAGAATGTACATCGATCAATGCATCGATGCTTCGTTACACCCACAGTTTTCGTCTTAGGTCTCGTTCGTACAATTTACTTTTTGCCCATAACAATCGGACGTAATTTTGCGTGAATCACAAACGTCAACAGTAGTCACCCGCAAGGTCTGACGCGTCGGTCTTGAGCGTGCTAACGAGTCGATTTGAATTGACTAATCTGCACTACCCGTGAATTGTCGCGCGCGCGCATATAGTCCCCGAGCGGGTGCACGGGCGCCTGATTTGTGCGCGTACACAGCTGCCGCTGTTAAAACACGTGTGTGCTCGCTCTCGCGCACGCGTGCGTGCGTCTGTGTACGTGCGTGGGTGGTCTTGTGGTGAAGCCGGGGTTGGGGTGGGGGGGGATATGGAAGTTTGTCATCGAGTGTTTCCTCTGCGCGCTGTCCTGTCCCGCCAGGCTCCGGAAAAAAAAAAACCGGAAGAGCTCCGCTCGCTCCGATGCCCTCAGTTGAGATTGTGTCATTCATTGCGGAGTGCATCTGTAAACATCGTCAACACCGGGGCGACCATAACTACACAGCGGGGCTTGAGCGGCTGTATCACCGGAGCTGAAATAACCGAGGTGTTGTGGCATCGGGGCGTGGGTGGTGATTAAAACAGCAGAGGGTAAAGGGATTGAATATACGGAGAGAGGAGGCCCCCCCTCCAAAATCGTAACAGCCCCCCCCACCCCTCCCCCTTCAGGGCCCCCCTTAAAGTTAATTCGGCCCTGCTGACCGCCACTACTGCCCACACCAGCAGATGAGAGGTGCGAGAGGCAGCAGTTCAAAATGTGCGACTAAATACGATGCGAGGGTTCTCGACTGGCGACGAATCTGTGGATGCTCGGGGGGTTGCAGGTATTGCTTAAAGACCCTGCGATAGTGACGATTAGTTTTGTTTTTGTCGCGTGCACGCATCACGAATTTCACCTCCTAATCCATTCAACGAATCAAAATTAACGAAAAATAAAACAGGGGTGTGGATTTGCTGATATGGCACCCGACCGCACGAGAACTGCCACGTTGTAGTTCCCGCAAACGGTATTTTATTGGACACTGGGAGCATCTTAGCCACACTAATCGGGTACTAGAGGCCAATATTTTTGACCTGGCAACAGAACATTTCATTTGTTAGCGCGAGCTCAAGTCACCTGTTGGCTTTCACGTTGGTCTGAGCACGCTTACAGTCCTAACGTGAGCAAGGCTTCGTGTCGGCCTGTGTGTGGCTGTCGGCCAAATCTGTTCGGTCCTCGGGTAATCTGTTCTTAATGAGCCCAGATTAGTGATGGGGGAAGCTGATGATCGGTTCCATTATCACTCCAATATCACTCAAATATTACTCGCCACTGATGTTAGCCGTGGCCAGAAACCACGTTCGTAGCCCAGCTCCCCACCGCTCCCCATCGCATACAAATGAACAAAATAATAATAGCGTTTGAAAAATGTACGAACTTATTTAGTTTTTTTAATTTGTGGCTGTTATCATTTATTATATTGTGCAGCAATAGTCGTGCTTAGGTTTTCGTGGTGTGCGCTGCGCAGCGCGCCCAACAACGTCGCGTGTGGTTGGGCGCGATGTCCGACGTTTTGCTCCAGCTGCCGGGAGCCTACAAAACACACTCGGAGAGCTGTCGTGCAGCGATGTACGGCGCGTGGCGGAGCCGTGCCTCTGTGGCTGTGGTGGCGTGGCGAGGAATAGGCTGGCGCTGCGACGAGCTTCGATGCAAGGAGGGGAACGCGCTGCAGGCTGGAATGAGGCTCCGTGGCGGTGTTTGGCAACACAGTTGTTGTGGAACCGGCATTCTAGCATGGGCCCCGCGGCATCTCTGTGTCCCGTCTCCAGGCCAAGCGGCCGCTAGATTGTTTCGAACGCATGTCAGTGGCACCCCCACCCGCTCCCCCCCCTCCCCCCCCACATTTGTTAGTGTGTACGTGTGTGTGTGTGTGTGCCTGCCAGTCATCTCAGTCAACCCATGGCACCTGGGTCTGTCCTGTGACCTCCTGCCAATGGGTGTTCGACACTTCACGTGGCCTTAAAGTGCACATAGCCTGGCACAACCGCAGTGGTGACGTCATCGCCACTTAGTGACAAATGGCGATTGTTTTTGTTTTGGGTGAGCGAGGCTATACAGAGGACAAAGATTCCCTGTATAGCCTTAACGGACTGTTGGGGCAAGTGCTGTTAGCGAGCACCTATGGAGGCCGGAACGGCACACGAGGGAGTGATTGGCCAGCACCACGCCCAGCCGCCTTTGTCTCCCAAGTGGCGATGTTTACACACCGGACCAGGTATTTATTTGAGACTGAGTCGATCTAGGAGAGGCCCAGGACCGGTTCAGATAATCGTCACTGGTGTTGGCCGTGAGTGGGTTTGTAGTGCAGCGCACGAACCGCTACACTACCCGTTCCCCACATGCCAACACACACAGTGCACACACACACACACAAGCATATAGAAGTTTCCACCAGCACACAGCTTGTTGTGAGCTCTGGGAATTAGGAGACAAACGGTGCTGGCTTGGGCGCGCATGCACAAAAAACGCCTCGAGCACGTGTGAACTAACACACTTTTAGATTTTTTGCAAGAGGTCAAAGTTTACAGAGAAGGCAACCCCACAGAGAGACGGCGGGATTTGGAGACACGAATGAATACGTGCTTGGCAATGTGATCAAAGCTGAAACGTCATTCACGCGCTCGTGAATACATTCAAGAGCAGTCCTGTGAATGGAATTGTAGAAACCCATTTCTTTTTGTTCCAAGTAACTTTACCCGTGCCTTTACTTTCCTTATTTATTTGTTTGCTCTTCGCTATTGATTTTCGGCTGAAATGTTCGAGGGAAATGCTGCGTTTGCCGCTTTTACGAGCCTCCCCGATGCTTGGTAGAGTCATCGCCACTCC